GCTGGCCCGTGTAGTCAGATTCAGTAGAAGAGCTACTGTATCTGAGACTACTGAGAACGTAATGCTGGTTCTGATAGAAGGGTGTTTAGACACACATTGCTGAGCCTGATAGAGGGGATCCTGCGTGGCCCTGAAAGCGCTAGTTCTGATGGCATGACATTTTAATAAACAAACACTTTGGACTACAATACTCTTGGTGTGCTGGTGACATCCATTCACCTATAGACACACAGTGCAATGCAGTTTGTTTCATATGGGGCTGTAGCCACAGACCGATTGGGGTGCCCATGCTGACCCCTGCCCACTGCCAAAAGCGCCTACAATGGGACGTGAGCATCAGAGCTGGACCACGGTGCAATGGAAGAAGGTGGCCTGGTCTTATGAATCACATTTCTTTTACATCATGTGGATGGCCAGGTGTGCGTGTGTCGCTTACCTGGCAAAGAGATGGCACGATGATGCACTATTGGAAGAAGACAAGTGGCACAGGCACCGTGATGCTTTGGGCAATGTTCTGCTGAGAAAGCTTGGGTCCTGCCTTTCATGTGGATGTTTTGACACGCACTACCTACCTAAACATTGTTGCTGACCAAGTACACCTTTTCATGGCAACAGTATTCCCTGATGGCAGTGGCCCCTTTTAGCAAGATAATTCACCTTGCCACACTGTAAAAATGGTTCAAGAATGCTTTGAGGGAGAGAACAATAAGTTTGAGCTGTTGACTTGGCCTCCAGATTCTCCAGAATTCAATCTAATTGAGCATCTGCGGGATGTGCTGGAAAACAAGTCCGATTTAGAGGACGTAAGGGATCTGCAAATGATGGCTTGGTGCCAGATACCACAGCATACATTCAGAGGTCTAGTGGAGTCCATGCCTCGATGAGTCACGGTTGTTTTGGAGGCAAAAGAGGATAACTACTTAATATTAGGTGGGTGGTCATGATGTTATGGCTGATCGGTGTATAGTCTTGCTGTGTCCAGTACACTAAGAAGTAACTGCATCTCACTTTCCATATACAGGAATACAATGTTGAAGTAAAAATAGTGATACAAACAGAATAAGAACAAATACAATAAAGCTCTCAATTCTCACAAATTATATTTTCTTGCTGTTTCCTAGAGCATGTCCAAACACATGGCCATTCCATATCTCTAGGCTATTGACATCCAAAGGTAGAGTCTAGGCTAGGTGTATTGATTCACTCTGACCAATTTAAAAAAAAATTATGTTGACAGAACCATGTGCAAACATGTCAAACACTTTAGTTTCTAATTGAGGTTAACACTGGACACCCTTTCACTCACCATAGACGGGAGCAGTGAAATCCATTTTGTGCTATTCATTTTCTGGTCAGGAATAGCGCCCTACACAGGACCCCAACAAACAGTTGAGTGGATCGCATGGGATAGTAGCTAAAAAATAATAATTTAGCCATCAGCACAAAACGAAAGATCCAACGACAGATAGAAATGTAAAAAAGCAGCAAATAGTAAATATTCTACTACCTCTTGGTATACTGAACAAGGACATATAAAGGTAGATGATTTTGCATGTTTTGATCAAATTTAAGTACCAATTCCTAATCCAATTACTGACCACCAATAGTGGCTTTTCCTTCTGATTCAAACAATGGTTCTTTTTCAGCATCTTTTTCACAAATAAAATCTGTATGTAGATGACACAAAATGATTTGAATGCTGTGAACATTGTTAAGTTAATGCTATAGATATTGATTCATTTTCTGGATTCTTTATCCCTCATTCATTACAAAGACATCAACTATCCGGTTATTACAAGCAGCTACTGAATCTGGTATGGTGTGTGATAAGATATCTTTAGACATGAGATTACAGTTGCCCAGTCTGGCCATTCATGGCCCATGCGTAGAAGATTTCATGTCTGTGTCTGTGCCATCCAACTACTTATAGCTATAACTATTCTACTCCTCCCTAAAGATAAATCCCTCTCTGGATTTAGAGATGATTACTTAGGTCACTTTTAGGTCTGAAAACTGGAGTGTTTTTTTTGTCATGAGAGTTTCGACGCCATACATTTTGGTATTGACATTATACACACAAAAGAATATATTTATCCCAATCAAGAAATGAAAAGTTACTTACTGAAGTGATATGATATAAGTCCTAACTGTAGACTTTTGTAATGATTTCAGGAGGGAAAGGCACCACGGAACGAGAACGGCAAACTATTCTAAAAGAGATGAAAGTGCGGACAAAGCTGAAGACAGACATGAGTTGGATTAATCAAGGCTCTGAGGATGATAAAGATGAAGTCACCAGCCCAATGTAAGAGATATTTACTGGTCATTACATAATAAAGAGCCTATATAGTCATTGCTTTTTAAAAGTATTGCGTTTCTCTCTTAAATGGTAAACCAAAAGCCTGTATGTGTTGTACATATGGGCATAATCAAACTCTTATGAAATAGGCAGCTCAAAAACATCCAGGTGTAGTCACCTTTATTCTACAAATCATGGAACAGCTAATATAAACATCCCGCCCTGTTTTGTCCCAGCACATGGCACTTTGGGGAAGGACAGTGTCTCAAGTATAAGCTTCCTAGATAGTGTTTTTCTCCTGAACAATGTTCTGCATACAAACAGACATTGGAGTGTTCATGGTAGCTGCTCCATAATTAGGGGCATATTAATGCTTTTTTACAGAACTGGTGCTGATGTGTTAATAGTGGTGAATGCTCCTGAATATTTTTCAGCCTATGGTATACAAGTGTTGTTGTATTTGCCAACTAAATGGTAAAAGCAACATTTAATCATGATAGGCGGTCTAAGGATCCTCGGTCATCACCTCCAATACAGCGATGATATAGGACATATCATCTCTGCAGCGGAGGAGGAAAGAGACTGGATGGATCGCTGCCGAGGATTGGTGAAGTATAATTTGTTTTATTTTCAGCCCCAGACACAAACAGTTAATCCTTGCAGTGGGGTAGTAGCCCCACTGTAAGGGTTAATAGTAGAGATGCACCGTTATGGAAATTTCAAAACCGAAACTAAACCGAAATAAAAACAATTGTCAGGCTGAAACCGAAAATGTTTTTTATTTTCATTTTTTCAATTTGTTTAATTAAAATAGAAAGAGATTGAGGACACAAAGTCCTCAAATATCTTTCTCTGCAGCCCCTGTTATCAATGAACAGGAATCCTCTATGCTGAGTGTTCCTGTTCATTCATAACTTGAGAACATTGTGTGTTTACTATAACCACAACTATGAATGAACAGGAGGTGATGTAGATCACTTCCCATTCATTCATAATTGAGGATATAGTCAACATGCTATATCCTCAATTATCTACAAACACTCAGCGATCGCTGATCATTGAGTGTTTGCACTCGCTCTCCTCTCTGACACGCTGTCACAGGAGGCTGAGCGAGCGGTGCGGGGAGGAGAGCTCAGCCTCCTGTGACAGCACGGGCTGTCTCCACCTCCACACCGCTCTGCCGAACTGTCATAGGAGGCTGAGTGGTGTGGGAGGAGAGACACTGGCCGCTCACATCGCTCTCCTCCCGCAGCGCTCGGCCGGCTGTCACACTTTCACGGATGTGCCGATGTATCGGCACAAAAATTACACTTTTAGCATTTAGCCAAAAGTGCCATTTTCGCCCGATATATCGGTGCATCCCTAGTTAATAATACGTTTGCCAGGAGTACTACTTTAAATAACAGGTTGAATCACCACTAGTAAATGTTTGGTGAATGCCACATTCAATGATTAAACCCCTTAGAGTTATTTTGGTGCATAAAGCAGCAGAATCTTTTTCGAGAACACATTGATTGAGGATGTGGAAGACAACTATGCAATTACATCTTAAAAGGTAGAGATACACACAATTTTAGGCAACTGAAAATTTTCGGCCGAAAACGGTACTTGGTCAAAATGCCAAAAGTACAATTTTTTGCAGAAAATGTGTTGCAGCTCTAGTTTCTATCTGACCCGTTGGGCGCTGCTCTGTGTCCGCTTTGATCCCCGCTGCTCCTCCATCGCAGGGATCTGTGGGGAAACAGAGCAGCGCCCAGCAGGGAGGAGAGGAACTTTCAGGAGGCCGAGCGGGGTGGGGAGGAGAGTGCTGTCAGCGATGTGACAGGAGGCCGAGTTCTGCTCCCTGCACCACTCACTCAGCCTCCTGTGACAGGCGAGTCAGGATGAAGAGCAGTATATAAACACTCAGCGATCAGCTGATCGCTGTGTGTGTGTAAATAACTGAGGACATAGTATGCTTACTGTGTCCCCAGTAATGAACAGGAAGTGTTCTACATCACTTCCTGTTCATTTATGATTGTGTACATAGTAACTGATACTATCTCCACAGTTTATAAAAGAACAGGAACACTCAGTATAGAGGTTTCCTGTTCATTCATAACAGGGGCTGCAGAAAAAGAGATTGAGAACTTTGTGTTCTCAATCTCCTTTAAAAGGAAATAGACCCCTGATATTTCCCCAAAGCCCCTAACAGTAAAGTAACATAAATAAATACAAAAAAAATATTAATAAAATTATTTTAAAAAGGTTAGAAAAAAATGTTTAGATTTCGGTTTCAGCCTGACAAATGTTTTATTTTTGGTTTTGGTCTAAAAATTCAATTTTGGTGCACCAGTAGTTAATCCTTGTTCACACCAAGGCGGTATTGTTTTAGCGTGTTTGTATGCGCAGGTTCAGCATGCTTTTTTTGCATGTTTATATGCACATTTTTATATCCAAATATTTATTGGGTTTTCAAGGTAGTAACAATTAGCATGTTATACAGTGTTTGCCGGCTACAGAAGGTCACATAGGCAACATAATGCAATCAATAGTATGTCAATGCAAGCACTACAAATCAACATTTATGCAATAGAAGATAAAGGAAATAGTAGGGAAGGGAGACAAGTAGGGGGGGATGGGTCCATCAGTCGGTCAGCTTCGATTGTGATTCGGGTCCATTCCACAGGTCTGCGGTTCATTGCTGAGGGCCACACATTCATTACCCCTTAACTCTATAGACCACATCACAGGAGGTGGAGGGTGTCAACATCCAGATCAGGGTGATTATGTAGAATCCAGGGTTCCCAGACTTTAAGAAATTTGGCATGTGTATCTGTAGGACACACGACAACCTTTTATTTAAGAGAACATTAGCCAACCTATTGGTAAACTCCCGGTACGGGATAAATTGTTTTTTCCAACTTCCTGCCAAAGTAACTTTGGCGGCAATGAATATTTGGTGAGCTAGGGCACCCTGAGATATATGCACATTTTACACACACACACATGAAGACCAGCGTTTTGACTGGCAGCTCAAGAAACATTGTGGTCAATGGACAAACGTACACGAAAATGTGCAACATGCTTCTTCCGTGCTTTTTCTTGGCATTTCCATTGAAGTCTATGGGGGAAAAAAACAACCTTGAAACTGCCAATAAAGAGCTCATGTACTTTTTTCTGCGTTTGGCGTTTTGCTGCTCAGGTGTGAACAGGGGCCATTGAAAATCATGGGATTTCTTGTGTTGGGCATTTAAAAGCACTTTTTTGACTGCTCAAAAAAACCTAGGTGTGAACCAGGCCTTAAAAGTGTTCAAAATGAGAAATGGAACAAATACAGGTAAGTCAATGGATTCATATATTCAGAATATTGGTCAGAAGATGATAAAGTACAATGGCTCTGGTGAGGCTACACTCAAGAAAAATGGGATATCCGACATCCAAAATAAGAAAGACAGTCAACAAGTGTAGCTGATGGTAAACACGATGTATGGCATGTTTTGTATTCAATTATAAAATTATATGACAAACAGAAATGCAGATAAAATCAAATCACAAATGTGTTATATACTCCTAATTGCACGCCTAGAATAAGTACAACATTTTCTGTCTTTTAGATCTCCACAGCTGAAGGCACTCGAAGGCAGAAAACTCTTGTGGTCTCCAACCCCAGAATCTGAGTCTAACAGGTTGGTGTGACACCATCCAATGTATAAATTAATGGTCTTTTGTGGAGTAATGTAAATAGAACAACTTTATATTTCAGCTATAATGTTCAGTAACGGTCTCAGTGAACAGAATGAAAGGTGCTTCTCTAACAAATGTTACCCTTATATCCTCGGTGGGGTATTGTTTGCAATAGCTTAAGATTTCCTGAGATTTCTCTCAGGAATTTGAGAAATAACAAAGGCGCATTGCAGGAAATAATTGTAATCAACAGGAGCCTTCCTTGGTAATTATATTAAAAATGTAAAACTTTTTAACATTTTATTAAAAATATAAAAGAAATTCTAGCTCTGTTATCACAAATGACACCCAAAGGACAAAATAATTGAGATTTGCTACCATATAACCTTTTTATTTCTTTAGGAACTCTGGAATATTTACAGCTAAAGAGATCACCACAAGCCCCCCTTCTCCAACTGTTCAGTCAAGCAACAAGTACGTGATCATGTCCTATCTCTATCTATCTATCTATCTATCTATCTATCTATCTATCTATCTATCTATCTATCTATCTATCAATACATAATATTTAAAAGGGCAGCTAAATGAAGGTCTTAATGTGTTTCTAAATGCACATCAACAGCAGCCTTCCTTGGTAATTATATTACAAATTAATACAAAATTCTAGCTCTGTTATCACAAATGACACCCTAAAAGGACAAAATAATTGACATTTGCTACCATATAACCTTTTGTATTTCTTCAGAAACTCTGGAATATTTACAGCTAAAGAGATCATCACAAGCTCCTCTTCTCCACCTGTTCAGTCAAGTAACAAGTACGTGGTCTATCTATCTATCTATCTATCTATCTATCTATCTATCTATCTATCTATCTATCTATCTATCTATCTATGCAGCTAAATGAAGGTCTTAATGTGTTTCTAAATGCAGTGTATATATATAAATAGTCATGACTGTTTAGGGACCATTGACACCTTTATGTTGAGAAGATAGTAGGGGAAAATGACCACTATACACAGTATATATATTATATATATTCCACATTTAGCAAACTCAATAGAATGTATACTATACTTGACAGAAAATTGCAAAATGCCTGCAGGACACCTCCTTAAACTGAAACAGTGTCTTCCATAGCATCAAGGTCAAACAAACTCCATTCCCAAAAGGTCTTAATGTATTTCTAAATGCACAAACTATAAATAGTCATGACTGTTTAGGGCCGATTGTTTAGGGCCACCTTCATGTTGAGTTAATGTTCGTGTGTTACGTTGCACTTGCTTTAGGCAACAGGCCTCCAACGCACCATAACTTGCAAAAAATTGAAAAGCTCAATTTTTTCTAATGCAATGCACATGTGTCCGAGATGCGATGCCCTAGTGCGTAGGGGTGCTGTTAAAATTAATGGTACCACAACGTGCTAATGTAAATGGTATGCTGCGGTAATATGTGTGGTACTGCAACACACCTCAGCTGACAGGTGTGAGCGGGCCCTTATAGGAAATAACACTATAGAATGTTAATTAACGGAACATCCTATTGCCATTTTGGATCAGGAAGGAATTGTAACATCTAGCTGCCTACTGACACTGTAGCAGTTGAAAGGAGTATATATAAAAAGTAGTGATTTCAGCCCTTGATACAGCAAATTTGTGTTTTACTGAAAACTAATGAGGTCTGCTGTATATGAAAGAGGAGTGTTTAATTTGGGTTGGTAAGCCCATCTTGTATCCTGTATCTAAAGATCAATGTGTGATTGATACATGTGTTTTTCTGTAATTTCAACAGTCGATTCTCATACACCTCCAATGAAACCAATACAACACCGTCCATATCCTCTAAGACATCACCACCACCATCAACAACAGGCAACAAGTGAGTGACTCTACTGTAAAATACAGTAAACAAGCTTTATAACTTGTGCTATGTGTTTATGCCTAAGCTGGAGGTGCATGATATGGGACACCAGTTGACCAATGTCATCATCCCTTCAGAAATTTACACTCAATAAAAAATACAGGGTAATTGACATTCTCTGTAACAATTCATGAAAGAAAATTACTGTGAAAAGAATTGTTTTTTTATTATAATTCATTTTTAATTCATTTGTTTTGTCGCATATGTGTTCACCTATGCATGTATTTCTGTGGTTAAATTATACACAGGTATGTCATAGCACCTATACAGAAAAAGAAAATCTCCTCTACCCATTTCATTCTAATTACTACAAGGGTGCTTCACTCAAACATTCCTATTACCTCAACATAACTTCAGTATTCTTAAAATAGTTTAGTGAGGAAGCATTTAAAGCTTAACAACAATTTTTTATTTGTTTTTTGGTTCGGTACAGTGGGGAAGGGTTAGAACATCTGTCATGTTTTAAGTATTGCCTGTCTTCCTGTTAAGGAGATTTCATTTAATTTCGTAATCTGGCTGCCACCTGGGCAAGAAGTGAGGAAAATTCATCATTTGGTACAAAAACAGCAATAAAAGCCTGAAAAAGATTCTAGTTCTTTTCCACTATACTAGAAAAATTGTGTAAAAAGGGAAAATATTGCAATAAAGAAATAACAGGGATTCTGACGCTTTCCTGGTGGACAGACACCTGTGCAACTTTTTTTTACATGTTGCCTAGCCCCTTTGGTACTTCTCCAGACTGCATCCTGATAATTTGGTGGTGTTTCACTACTCTGCTCACCTGGTATCCTGGTAGGCAGTTTCATCGCTTCAGTATTTCTGATATCCTATTACATGGTCCTGACACGCCAGTAAGTGTGGTATCCTGGTACTCAGTTCTGCCACTCCAGTACGCCTGGTACCCCGTTTTGCAGGTCTACCGCTTCAGTACACCTGATATCTTGGTACCTATCCACTGCTCCAATCTCGTTGGGTATCCTGGTACACTATGCTGCTGCTTCAGTCTCCCCTGGCATCCTGGTACGATTCCCTTCTGCACCAGTATGCTGGTATTCTTTAGTCTCCACTCCTTAGGAAACCCAGCCATAGCCAGGGTAGGGTCCTGTCACTGCAGTCTTTCAGTTTACTACAATATGCTTGTTAGGCTGGCTCACACATGACCTAGCAGGTCAAAAGCAAGCATGCACATCTAAATGGATGCCTATATATAGTAATTTATATAACACCACATAACATGTTCCTTCTGAATTAATAATTCGGTTGCTGGTAGTAGATTAGCTGAGATTTAGGAATAAGATATCAGTTAATTTTTATTTTGATGGCAAAGGTGAACTTATTTTAATTGGCACAAAAGTGGTGAACACCGTCTCAAAGCATGTATACTGTGTGTTCATTCTTCTTGTCTCTTCTTGCAGGCCAACAACCTCATACATCATAAGGTGAGTAATGCAAGAATGGCGATATGTAGTACAGGAAAATCCATACAGATAGAATGCAAAAAAAAAAGAAAATGAAAGTCACCCAAGAGTTTTAAACAACAAAGAATTGCCGAAGATCACATTGCAAGACATTTAGTGAATAATGACCAAAACTTCAATTACACCTGTTTATTAGTTAATGCACATCATGCAAATCATGGCAGCAAATAAATTATATTTTATTTAATTGCAGGGGACAGACATTAAATTCAGTCTCTCAAGTGAAAAGTCCAACTTTCTTTAATGGATACCAGAAAAGGTAAATTATTTATTTTACAACACGAATGCTATGGATAATGATATGGATAAGTGACACTGATTGTGGTATACAGCCCATAACCAAAGAAGCATCTATATACTTGTCCATTATATATGTAACCCCTTAAAACACTTTTTTTAAAGGGAGTTAGAACAGAGATATGGGCCTGGCTGAGTTCCTCCATAAAGGAAGTTAAATAGCTGGTGACGCCTACACTCAGTGAACACCATTTTATCTAAATGGAGGGATTGTGAAGTTCAGGTGACTTTAAGGACATGTAGGGGCTAACTGGATGTAAAGTGCTCATTGCAATTTACATCTTGGAAGAGTAAGTGTGACAATAATGAGCACTTTACATCTTGGAAGAGTAAAACATCTTGGAAGAGTAAGTGTGACAATAACACTTTACATACCAGAGGCTCTCATTAATGGACACAGAGCTTTATGATTTGGAAAGTCTGTGTAACTGAATCGGAACTGAAGATTTCCCCCCTTTCTCCATAGAAAAGCGACCAAACATGGAGAGATTTAATTGCATATTTGCTGCATTGTCCAGTTGACTAAAACTCACCTTACATGTTATTATCTGACTATACACTCTGCCTTTAGAGCTACCATCAACTATGTGGTGCAAAGGCCTGTCTAATTAAATACAAATTGAATGGATAGTTTAGGCAGGTCCTCATATTGTATATTATTAGTAAATCTAAAGGTCATTGCACAAAGATTTTATAGTCAAATTGAGGTAATTGGAAGAGATGCAAAAAGGAGCTGATGGATGAACCACCACCTCTTCTCACTCAGACGTCTGTATATGGCCAATTCTTGATACCAAAAGACCAGAAGTGGATTGTGGGGAGGGATGTTTCCCATATAGATCATAAATATCCTCCTTGGTATGCTCCTCTTGTTTTTTATTTTTATTTGATTTTACAATTTTGTTATGTACTAAATTTTAGACCACTATAAAATGAAGAGCAAAATAATAATTATGGTAAAACAAATATATCAGGTTCCAAAATATAATATTTAACCACAACAAGGAATTTTCAATATTGCGGTCAAGCAACATGTTTCTGAATTTGTCAATGACAAAACATTATTAAATCTAAAAACGGCCCAAAAACATTATATGGACATTTATGGCTGTTTTAGGAGACAATCCACTGACAATGAGGCACCTGCAGATGCCACAAGTTGGGGCTTATTGAGTCGTATGCTGGGTGGCACAGATGCCTTTGGTCAGAAAGAGTGTGCATGAACGCCTCACTGCTTATTGGTCAGTTTTAGAGTAACATGCAACATTTATGTAATTATTATAAATTGTCTGTGGCACTTCCTGTAAATTATCTACAACAAGCAACAGCTCCTGATGTTAGAATGTAATATTGAAGCTGTTCAGATATGATTTCTGTCAAACATTCCACTGTATGCAAACATGCCTTTCAATACTCCAGGGAGCCCCAAAACAATGGGCACTCTAATAAGGCTGCTCTACCCCATCCTGTGCCTCACTGTTAGTCCTTAAACCTGGTTGGTGGCCACAGTGACCAATAAGAAAGCAAGAGAGATGGGAGAATTTCCTTCTTGAAGCTTATATTTGCATCTTAGAACTTGCTGGGTTTTGGAACATAAAAGGTAAATGTGGGCATAAGAGTCTGAATTTCATTCATTTTAGTAAAGAAATGTGTACTTTTAATCCCCACCACTGGTATGGTAAGCCATGCCCATTCAGAACCCCTCTCATTTTCAGGGGGGGATTTTAAACAAAAGTAGGAAAAATGGACTATGACATTCTTTGTCCTTAACTGCCTGTCAGTAAACTTGAGTTTTGGTGAATTTAAGGAACCCTAATAGCCTTACGACGAACAGTAAATGGTAGCTATCCCATATGTAAAATTAATACAAAATGTCTGTGCTTCAGCAGAGATTCATTTCTTACATTAAAAATATTTATTTTACCAGCCAAGTCCAAGCTCGCACAACCAGCCTTCCACGAGTCCCAACAGCTACTGGCTACAAAATGTCTACAGATGAATACAAGAAACTGTAAGGAAAACAGAATGATGCAATTTAAATAATACTGTTATTTTGTGCTTTATTAAAAATATAAAAAACAAAATGTTTAATTTTGTTCTGGATATTGGTGGGCAGGGTTGGCACCATTTGGTTCTGGGAAACTGAATGTCGGCATTAGTGTGACTTATTAATGGGGGTGGGAGTGAGGGTGCATTATATAAAAGTGGACATGGCTTAATATGTGTGGTTTACTATCTTAACAGAAGAGTAAACTGAAGGCTGAGTGACTCGCCTATGAGCCTCTTAGCTATGGCTGCATGGCTGCAACAGCCGTAGGAGGGCCATAGAATGCGTTATTGGCCTGTGAGCCTCTTAGCCACAGTCACAGAATGGCAGAGTCAACTGTGGGGCGGTCTATGGATGGGGGAGCCTGAGGGAGGCAACCACGCCATGCCATAGTCCACTTCAGATATGTGAGCTAAAGTGATTAAAGCCTAACTCCAGTCAAAACTATTTTTGAGTGGTAAAAAGGTTAGAACCTCTTTGCTGCGGTTTCAGTAGCCATTATGAAGATTTTCCTTCACTTCCTTTTTGAATACCAAAACTGGAAGTGAGCATTATCTCTTTAATGGAGTCAATGGTGAGAACTCCTGACAAGTTTTTATTGCTGTCTTATCATAGGGCAAGCTTCCTGAGGTTAGTCAGCACCTAAGTCCCTGTGTGGTCAACAGAACAGGAAGTGAGGAGAAATCTCTCCAACAGATGACAATAAAAACCTGACAAAGATTGTAATCTTTCTACGCTATAACAAAAGCTAAATAAATAAATAAATCTGCTGTTGGGCTTTAATTCGTGTATTATAATAATAAACAAGGAAATGTACGCACAGATTGTTCCCAATCTTTAATATTTATAACCTGTCACCATTCATATCATTATATTTAGGGCACCGTACAATGTAAGAAACAAATCACCAGACCTCTCAGACGACGAGACGCAGTTTACACAGCAGGAGCAAGTTAAAAGGTGACAATGATTTCTATGAACAGAGGCAAATTAGGATGAGTTTAATATTTGTATGTCATTATTAGTGGAAAATTGCCATATCTACACCTGGGGGAGGAGATTGCATCTGTGAAATAGGCTCAGAGGTTGGCAGTAGGTAGCGCTTAAATCTTGGCGGTGGACCTTAGCACCAAAGTCAAGGAAGTCAAACTTTGAGTAGCAAAGTGAAAGAGAAATTCCACCTTTTAGAACACTAAATTTAACCTAGGACTTACAGTATCTCAGCCTTGAAGGTGAGTGGCCCTGGACTTCCCACAGCCCTTTGCTCACCCTGCACTTTTAAACCTGATGACTAGTAGGAAAAAAAAATCAGCAATAACAGTTAGATATTTTTTTCTGTTTATTTATATTTTCATGTTTAAGTGCTTTTTATGCATATTAGTAGATTAGTACAGTAGAAGCTCAGTTTCCATCTTATCAGTCATATGTTTTTGTAGGTTTGCAAAATGTAAATGAGAATTATAGAAACATCTTTCAGAAATGTGTGCAAGGCCCATGAACTATTTCTGACAGTAGATGGCCCACGAAATGGTTCATCCATGCAAAATGAAAAAACTAGGCATATTTATATCAATATTAAAGAAGGCCTGTACAGAGAAGAAATGTGGGCTGCCATTGCTGACCTTCTAAAAATGCAAGTTGTCTAGTTGTCCCTGTCTTCAACACTTTATAAATCATTGCCTAAAATTAAAATGCAGAAAGCATTGTCACAGCTAAGTCAGAACTCCTGATCTGCATACTTGTTCCAGGTCAGAAAGTACTTTAGCTAATAGATCAGCATGACAGCCAGGCAACTAGCATTTATATAAGGAGATATCAGGCACTGGTGGCCTACCTATTTTTGGAATACTGGCTTTTAATGGCCAACACTTTTATTTTGGGGAGTGGAAAAGTTAGAAGATGTTAAGAATAGTTTTTCTGGGATTGCTGGTACAGGAAGTGAAGGTATATCTCTCAAATTGGGTCATACACAGAAATTCTGTTAAAAACATTTGGGTTAGAACTGGGTGTTAACTAACCCACTTGATCTGTCCTTATGCTTGGAGTCATGGAATCAGACATAACAAAGACAGGTGAGAACAAGCATTGTCTGTGGTTTCATTTTAGACCACATAAATGACAGATAATTGGATGTAATTGTGGAGGCAACTTCAGTTCATCATGCAAGAAATGCTTTCCACAGTGACCGCACTAGCTTGGCAAAACCCTAAGAGACATTTTTCTAATACCTACTTGAAGTCAATGCAGTGGATTACATTTACATAATACTCCTGTGTTTCATCTTGAAAGTCAAGAAGAAGGCATGTTAATAATCTTGAGAAACAATGATGGGAAACACTGACATAGAGGGATGAAAACTATGGCAGCAAACTAGTTGATAGCTTTCATTCTCTAAAACCACTCACAGATCTTTCCATGAATATGTATGCTTAGATTGCCAAGGAAGATTTAATTTATAGCTATGTAAGAGGGGAAAAGGGAGAGCATGAAGATATCCCTTGCACCAATATATCTCAGGGAATACAATGCCAAAAACATCCAAAATGGCTGATTGGTGTTTCCAAGGTCACTTACCCAGGGATGTCTGTGTCAGGCTGCTGGTGCCCAGACATGGAAATCATTGTGTGGACGGAGCAAAGATCAACTGATATCTGTGGACACCATAAGCTGCACTTGATGAAGGCTAATTCAGTTGGGTTTACTAGGAATGGTTAACCGTTCAGGTCACTTTAGTGTCCATGTGCTTTGGCCTTTTGTTGATGGTATAGGTCTGATATCAATAAAATGTTTCTGACATCATTCAGAATTCATTGACAGGTGCATTTGGTCTGCAATTGACCTCCTTCCGACTTGCTTCATATGGGTTTTGCATTTCATAGGCATGTATGGGAAAGTAAAACCCGCTTGAAGGGAACAAAAAGCCCATTAACACAGACCCTAGTTAAGTTAGTAACATTGTTGTTCTCTTTAATAGGACTGAACAAGCAAGCAGTGTGTTGAGGAACACAACAACTAAGGATCGCTCATATGTTATATCAGCAGCGAAAAGGAATAGTGGGTGAGTGATAGCAAGAAGGAGTAAATGTGTGCCGCCTTTTGCTGTGCAGTTTTACTTATTTAATTGTATTTTACTTTTTATTTCAGAGTTGTCACACACGATTCACCATCACCTTTTGTGGCGAAAAGGTGAGATGTTTAACTTGTGCAAATACAATTTTTTTATACACAAACTTAATTATTTTTTTCCACCTGGAGAGTACAGAAGAGCCAGATGGACACAGTCTAGGACCACATGGGCCCTAAGTGTAAGACCCATTCTCTAAAAGTAAAATGTAACCTTTTAGTAAACCATTAAATATTTTTCATAAAATGTCCCTCTGACATGAAGTTATGTAGCTGTTGAAACTGTAGCATATATTAATGGCCAAAATAAGGATCCCTACAGTGCAATTCTAGCTGAAAGGTTTTTTTTCTGTAGCTGTCAGAAGGTCTAAGCTTTTTCCTCTCTATCCAAAATGAAAAAAAAAAAAACAAGTAGGGCTGGAGACCCAACTGGAGACCGTGATTGAAATTCAGTTTTTTAGTTGTATAGTACATGTAATAATAAAACATATCTTTGATTCATCATGTTCACCATTATCTCACACACTTCTAACAGACAGAACCTCTCTGATTAGATAAAGTGATGTAACCTTTAAGTCTTTCATTCTGTTGACATTATAAAACACATGGTCTACTCTATACAGGGTCGTAACTCTGTATGATGGGGTACAATCGCAAAACCATTATGGGACCCCCTGCCTCTCTAATCTCCATCTCAAAGGCAGTTCCTTTAGTGCTACAGAAAACGAATTGCTTTCATAGCAATCTGTATTTTATAATGTAATGTTAAATTAACTTTGAGAATCACTGTTTTTACAATTATCTTCTGTCTCCATGCAACTTTCTGCTGAGCTGTCAGAACTATAATCAAAAGGTTTTACAATAAATAATTTCCCACTGATGATAACTCGGTGATAGAAACAGGTATATGGAAACATGTTTTGTTTTACATTATTCTACAAGACCATGAAGTACATATAGGTTATTCCTATTCAAATAGAAAATTGGGCAATGTGTGCATGGAAACAATTTGACTAATTTTAATTTTTACTTTTATACAGAAAAAAACAACAAAAGTAGTGCAAAAACGATACACAATTAAAAAAAAAACCACACCCACATGCACATTGCTCATGCACAAAGATGTGCTGCCAGCAAAATCCTATAAGAAATCTTGTCAGTACACTGTACTGTACGCATGTAATTGTTTCAACTAACATATATATGCATACAGCGTATGGCGCAAATTGGCTCTACTGGTTGGTAGGCTAGGTGGCTCTTGACAGGCTGCCTAGCATCCTCTGATGCTAGGACACAGGTGGTTCTTGTACTCTAATAGAGCACATTTGGGCTGTACACTGCTTGCATGTAAATATTAGCACAAACATTTCCATGTGCATATTACGTTAATACACTCCGCTCCTGGTGCAGGACATTTGTTTACATTTCTGAACACTGCTCTAGAACAGCCTCTCTCAACCAGGGTACCATGGCAGACTGGGGTGCCCTCTGGCTTCCTGAGGAGTGCCTTGGAAATGTTGTTATGGTAGCACTCTGATGTGAACGATGGACCGAGGGCTCCTGATGTGAAAGGAGGGGGCTGTGAGGTGAAGGGGGCTACTGATGTAAAGGCAGATTCTGATGAGTCATGTGCGTTGCTTGGTTCATACATGTGCTGTGGGGCACGTCAGAAATTAAAGGGTGTGCACCCAAAATGACTGAGTGCAATGTGCATCAACATGCAGTACACCTCACATGGTGAAACACACACAGCTGTGCAAAGGGCCTTATTGACATTCTTATTACTGTATGTCTTTGGCTAATCAGATTTCTGGTTTTGTTACTCACCTGTAAGATATTCTCATAATACACCTGTATTTTAAAGGGTTGAAATACAAGATGAAGAGACAGGTACCAACAGGAAGAGTCAGACTCTCCCCAAAACCCTGTCATCGTTTCTCGCTGATGATGCCAACAGGTACAGCATTGCCAGAGATTTCTTTTTTGTATTGACTATAAGTAAATTAAAGCTGAATTTCAGGCAAAAAAAAATTTATTTAGATATAGTCCTCAATAGCCACAAAGGATATAAAGCTGTGTATATTACGCCAATACACTCCGCTCCTAGTGCAGAACATTTGTTTACGTTTCTGAACACTGCTCTAGAATAGCCTCTCTCAACCAGGGTGCCATGGCAGACCGGGGTGCCCTCTGGCTTCCTCTGGAGTGCCTCGGAAATCTTGTTATGCTAGGACTCTGATGTGAACGGTGGACCGATGTCTCCTGATGTGAAAGGAGGGGGCTCAGAGGTGAAGGGGGCTCTGAGGTGAAGGGGGCTACTGATGTAAAGGCAGATTCTGATGTGAAAGTCAGGGACTCTGATGTGAAGGGGGTTCCTAAATTGAAGGGGGGATTTGATGCGAAGAGGGGGACCCCACTTTTTTTGTGGTTTTCTTACATTTAAGATTGGAGTGCCTTGAGATTTTGCATACTTTTAAAGGGTGTCATGACTGAAAAAGATTGAGAAACACTGCTCTAGAATACGGATCTAAATGCCACAATCTGCATGGACACATTGACAGCAATAGAGCTGCATTCAGAGGATTAAAAGAACAGCCGTACAGATTCTAAAGCAGAATTGGCTCTTTTTTTTGTAGAAATGGCTCTTTTTTCAATCTCTGCAAGTTTTATAAACATTCCAGTGTAGTCTACAGCAGCATTACTCCAATGCATGTTAATGTACGTCTCTTTGTGCATTGTGCTGCAGTGTGTACTGGTGTATGCACTGTGGTGCTTTGAGAGTCATGTGCATTGCTTGGTTCATGTTCTTTGGGGGCCCATCAGAAATTAAAGGGTGCGCACCCAAAATGAATGAGTGCAATGTGCATCAACATGCAGTACACCTCACATGGTGAAACACACACAGCTGTGCAAAGGGCCTTATTGACATTCTTATTACTGTATGTCTTTGGCTAATCAGATTTCTGGTTTTGTTACTCACCTGTGAGATATTCTCATAATACACCTGTATTTTAAAGGGTTGAAATACAAGATGAAGAGACAGGTACCAACAGGAAGAGTCAGACTCTCCCCAAAACCCTGTCATCGTTTCTCGCTGATGATGCCAACAGGTACAGCATTGCCAGAGATTTCTTTTTTGTATTGACAATAAGTAAATTAAAGCTGAATTCCAGGCACAAAAACAATCATTTAGATATATTCCTCAATAGCAACAAAGGATATAAATCTACTTTTTGAGAACGGAATGTCCTTGCAAGCCCAGATATCACCTTGTAAAAGTGGTAGTGACATCATCATCATCATCAGCCTGTGCAGAGAGTAGAGCGGTGGGAGGGTCCCAGTAGACCCCATCCACTACAGACTGCCTGCAGGGAACTACAAGAGGGGTGGATTCAAGACTAGTAGTCCACACAAGGAGAGACAGCAGCAGTGACTGGTCTTTATTGCAGGAAGCTCCTGTACAGAGCAAAGTTTTACACTGGATTTCTGCACAGATATGGTAGATATACACAAAGCACCCCTAGATTAAAGTAAGAATACACATGGTTCTTGTGTTTAGACAATATTTGTTGATCCCGGAGTTCAGCTTTAATGTGTCTATAATAATGTAAGCTATTTATTGTTAAGGTTGTTTATAGGTTTCCCAAAAGAAAAATCAGTAAACTATATTTTTTATCAAGATGCTACTCACAGCTTCTCATTACAACATTACCCATGTCAGGGACAGATGATGTATAATGCATTTTAATGCATTTTTTAGAATGCATTCCTTATTATATGGAATGTGTAAAACATTTTAAAATAACCATGCATGACAGCCAAGGAAACAGCAAGTTACAGGTTAGTGGAATTTTTAGCAGTATTTAAAGCTTGTCTCCAGTTTGAAGAAAAAACACCTTGCAGTGGGACAACTCTGCACTGCAAGGGTTAGAAACTTTGGTAAGAAACTTTGCAAGAGATTCATAAAAACAAATGATTTGTTTAAAGGAGAACTATGGGGTCAGTGTTTTCCCCCATAGTTCTCCTTAGGGTAACGGGAGGACACAAACTAGCGTCCTCCCGTTACCCTAAGCTCAGTATACCGCGAGCTACAGCTCGCGGTATACTGAGACGCCGCAGCCGGAGCGGATCCCGACGTAGATGACGGGATCCGCCCAGCTGCGTGAGTGACAGCTGGCTCTGCCTATCTAGAGGCAGAGCCAGCTGTACCCGCCCCCTCCCCCGTCCGTTCCGCCAGTCAGCGCTGGCAGATCGGAGCGGGGAGAGGGGAATCTAGCCAGCCTCCCCCTGTCACGGCAGAGAGCCGTGACAGGATCGAGAGGTGAGCGAACCTGGTATGTGTTCACTCACCTCCCGATCTACTGAGCCGACCTGTTACAGTCTCATTGTCACAAGTCGGCTAGAACTATGAGGTGAGTGGAAATCACTCATCTCATAGTTCTCCTTTAACTGCTCATTAATTTCTAGTGGGATTCTGGAGAAAAGTGTTGCTTAGTTGATACCCACTCTCGCAGTCTCTAAGACCGGCACCTGCAGCCTCTTACCCCCTCTGCTTCGGTGATCAGAGGTCCGCTGATGTCTATAGTTCTGCCTCACACCTGAGGAGGCAGAGGAACAATCAGGAGCAGAGGGGAGAAAGTGCTGACCGCTGAAGGTGGGGATCAGGTAAGGTAAACTGCTTTACAGAGTACCTCCAGACAAAATGAACAGTTAACTCTTGCAGTGTGGGGGTAGCCCCACTGCAATGGGAGGTTTTTCTATATTCAGAGATAAGCTTTAAAGGAACAGTTCTCCCAAAAGTAATATTTTACTTACAGATGGAGCCTGCTAGGTTGAGACAGTCTTTTTCTTTTTGTATTTTTTGAAGGTTACTCCAAAGAGTAGATCTCCCTTTTTAAAATGTTCAACTTCCTATCCTCCTGGGACTTTTGGGTGTTCTACCTCCTGCTAAAAATAATACATTCTGTAGAGTGGGAATCCCTCATAATGGCCACAGCAGGTGTGCAGACCTGGGAGCTCCAGTGCAGTGATCTAACTGAAAGGGGTTGATTTACTAACCTTATAAACACACCACGAACATGTATACACCTCTGTAGTGTGTTCCCTCCCAGCATGATCTATGGGTGGAATCTAAACACCTTTGTAGTGTGTACACACCCAGCAGGTGTGTTGTGCAAAGCCCTGCCCTGAATTGCAAGGTGATGTTGTGTAAATTAGCTCTACATTGTGTTGCTTGCGTTGATGAATGCAGGAATGTAAATGCATGAGCTAACCATTTTTGTCTAAACTGTGGAGCAGCATTATATATGCATCATGTGCATGATTTTTCCATATATGGCATTAGTGGAAACATGCTTATAGAGACTTTTTGGTTGATAAATATGCTTTGCTGTGTAAAAATCACACGCACCTGGGCGTGTGTTTAGGTTATTAAATCACCCCCAAAGAGCCAGATAGAACCTCTCAGGAGGTTCAACTCTTCAACATCTACCAAAAACTGAAATACAGGTTAGACTGATCCACCAACAACAGTATTACCAGACAAAACTAAAATTCTAACTGGCTCCATCATGTGTACCTGTGCTTAATTGCTCTTTATTTACCAATGTTTTCAATTTATTATAGGTATGAAAACAAATGGACAGAAACACAACCTAAGCAGACCCCACCTCAGCCATCTCAACCCAGGTTGGTGTAAAACGTTGTCTATTGTTTCTCAGACAATTACATATCTATGAAATGAATATTGGCCATAGATAAGTCGTTTTCTGAGATAAAAGAGGACCTGCTATGCAGAATGTGTTGGCTTAGCATGGCACTCATATCTGTTCCAGTAGACAGTGCCTACATCTCTAAACTGGCTTTCTGTGTCTAATGCCGCAGAACAGAGGTGATAACCTCTTCTCATTGTTCCCCTGGAGGGTGCCATCTACTATTCTCGCCTATTCCTTTTGGGAATCAGTGTTATACCACTTTCAAAATATTTTTTTAAATTTATTTTTTACTATTTTTTTAATTTTGTTGGGCTTCAGGGAAATACTAGGGGTTTAAAAAGCCCCCTGATATTTCCCTTTTAAAATAGAAAAAGAAATTGAGGACACAGTCCTCAATCTTTTTTTCTGCAGCCTCTATTCTAAATGAATGGAAAGCACAGAGGCTTCCCATTCATTCAGAAAATATTTACTATCAAGCAGTTTCTGAATGGGGAGGAGCCTCTGTACAGAGTGCTTCTCCCCATTGAGAAACTCATGAATGAACGGGACGTGATGTAAATCACATCTTGTTCATTCATTTATAACTGGGGACACATAGTAGTATGTGTCCCCAGTTATTTACAAACACTGGAGTGATCAGACGATCGCTCCAGTGTTTGTCCTGCACAGAGGATTGGTACATACTACTGACATGTACCGATCCTCTGCCGCTCGGCCACGCACAAATGGGTTCAGCTTCTCCTCTGGATCTCCGCTGCTCTCCTGGGCAGAGTCAGCGGGGGATCCGAGGAGAAGTGAGGAAAGCACTTCAGCCGCGAGGGGGGGGCATTCGGACGGAGCCGCTGTCAAAGCAGCACGTGGGGTGAGGAGTGAGAGAGCCGCCGGCTGTCAGATCCAGGCCAAGCGGCTCTCTCTCCTCACCGCTCGACGTGCTGCTGTGAAAGCGGCTCCGCCGCCTGCAGCGCTTCGTTCATCCCCGGATCCCCGCTGTATACAGATGGGTGAGGGCAGCGGGGATCCAGAGAAGCCCCACGGCAGGAGGACAGGACATCGCGATCTACCAGGGATCGCTTTGCGATCGACTGGTAGATTGTGATCGACCTAATGGGCACCCCTGGACCTCCCGGGCAGAGGCAGCAGGGGATCCGATGAGAAGTGAAAGAGCACTTCAGCTACGAGGGGGGTGTCAGAGCCGCTGTGACAGAATGGACGAGCAGTGAGGGGAGAGAGAGGCGCCGGCTGTCAGATCCTGGCCGAGCGTCTCTCTCTCTCTCTCTCCTCACCGCTCTGCACTAGTTCTGTGACAGCGACTCCGTCCTCCGCCCTCCCCCGCCGCCGGTTCCTTCACTTCTTCTCGGATCCCCGCTGGGGAGAGCAGCGGGGATCCAGAGAAGCGGCGGGAGGAGAGGACATGGCGATCTACCAGTGATCGCTACGCGATCGACTGGTAGATCGCAATCGACCTTGTGGGCACCCCTGCTGTAGGAGCTCTGAACCTCTAATATAAACATAATTGCCCTCATTATATTTCAGTTACTATATTGTGTAATTTTATTTTTTCAGGGTGACAGAGAGAAGCAGCAGCCCCAGGATGACCTCATATTCTATGACTAGCAGTGCTGATGGCAGGAGTTCCCCTTTAAAACCTGAAACTGGGAAGATCACAGTGGTCAGAGATGAGAGGTAAGGTGCCCATACACTGCACAATTATCGTACGAATAAAACCCCTCGACGATCGGAATATCGTACGATCATCGTGCGACGCACCCAACTTGTCTCGATAGAGGTCGATCCGATAATCGTACGACCGCACCAATAATCGTATGATTTCGATCGACCGACGGAAGTAATAATTTGATCCCGAGCAGTGGGCGTCATCGTTCGTACTATGCCCTTTAAAGGGCAAAAACCATGCCCAGGGACACACAGCATACACATGTGTAGGGCATGTTTGACAATTTCACTTTTATCAAATTGTCTCCAAAAGGAGAATGGACATGTTATTCATGTTGCATGGTTTGCGTTGCATGTGGTTCATTGCAATTATTAGGGGGTCACTTTCAGCAGCCTCATGTGTGGTGCACATGGGGAGTGGTCAGCATGTGTGTCAGCTACATGAGGAGATATGATTTTGGTGTGAGCATTGGTTCTTGCATCTGTACGCAACATGTAGCCCCAGCAATGGCTGAGCAAGTGGTCCATGTGGGTACCAGAACAGAGGTGTGGATGCTGCGAGTACAGCCAGCTGCCGTCATTCTACTTCCAATTGCTCGATCGTTTAACGCATGCGCTGAACGAACAGTGCGATCATTGACGAACGATTACTCTACTCATTGAACGATTATCGTACGATTACGCACAGGTTTTCGAACATGCTAGGTAGTCAAACGTTGTACGATTGTACAGTATCAGCGGTGGCACGCTACCCAGACACTGCACGATTATCGTACGAAAAACCGATCACATACGATTATCGTACGATAATCGTGCAGTGTATGGGCAACTGTACGCTCTAATTTATTGTAGGGAACATATCTAAGTTCTAAATAACTGAACTGCATGTGCAAAATACAAAAACAGGAAAATGTCAGCCTCATGATAGTTGAAGGTAATGGTGGTGGTGATAATGATGATGATAATAATGATGATGATGACGATAGTTTAAAAAAAAAACCTATAATGGCAAAAAATAAAGGGCTGCCATTTTAATGTCCTTCTGGAAATTCTTATTGCCTGGTTATCTTTGGCCTCAATATTTTCTGATTCACAAACGTACATATTCCTGACCAATCACATAGAAAGTAAGAAAGCTATTGAATTAGCATAACAGCCTTACAACTGGCCTTTTCCCCAGGAGAGTTTATCAGTGGTATCCTGCGTATTTTCTCAAGTCAGGTTTTATTGAAATTCTTTCACATAAATATGATACATGAACACTAGGATCTGTTTGCTGATTGTCAGCCTGGCCATGCACATTAAAATATGGTAGTATGCTGTAAGATGGCCACACATGTTACAATCTGGCTGTACAAACTGAGCAATCATTACATTTACCAGCAACTATGCAGTCTGAGGGCCTACAAGGGTCTAATCATTTATTATTTAAGAAGTGATCCCAGCAGTCTTTCAGCACTTCAGTGCCTGACATACACGTAGCACAGTGGTGGTTAACATACAAGGTTTAGGGGGTGTCAACTGTGGCCTATGAGATCTCTAAAGGACCACACATAATATTAAGTATATGACAGAAACTTGTCAGAAACTTTAGACATACAAGAGCAAATGGTTAGAGACCGCAGCAGATGTACAACAGAGGTAGTTGGAGTCTAGAGATGAGCTCAGATTCACTCTGAACTTGAGTTTGCCAAGCCCGGAAGGAAGCTATCAATGCCAGTCCAATCAGCTGAGATCAGGGTATTTCTCACCCCACAGCTGCACATAAAAAAGAGGCAGGATACGAATGAGACCGTTGACCATATATACTGTATAGCCACATGGCAATATTAGATCAATCTCATTGACCAAATCCCCATTGGTGAATGAAGACACACTGCAGGAGACAGTCAGGGATTGGGAAAGTGCTACAGAAGACTGCTATAGATGGCTGTCATCAAAGCCTCTTTACAAGTGTATGCTTCCGTTAGGGCAAAGGGATGCACAGCAAGTACCAAATGACTGCTTGTGGCCCTCGGGGTGCAACTTGGGCACCAGGAACATAACACACAGAGGGACATTGAAAGTTAGCCTGCCCTCTACATGTATTTGTCAGCGAAATATGGTGCTTGCACAACAACTAGCTAATAACCTCTATGTGTTTTCAGCCGCAATGAAAACAAAGACGTTTCCAAACCACCAACAGAGAAAGAGAGCTCTACAACTGTGCAAACAATCCGAACTCAGAGGTAATTGTGAAAAACTGTATGATAGGAGGCTATAAGCTGATATTTAGAACTTTAAAAATGAATATCTTTGGCTATTACCATGTGCTTTCAGAAACCAAAAGCCCGACTCCAAACATTTGTTTAAGTTTTGGATACAGCGGTTAAAAGTTAGAATATCTGATAATGTGTTTGCTGTTGTCTGTGCCTTCCTGTCTTGGGGGTCTATTCACGAAGCTGCCGAAGGATCTGGCCGTAGCTTCGGCCGATCCTTCGGCTAGCTTCGGCCCCAGGACCCCTTCGGTTCAGTAGAATGGAAGGGGTGCAGTACGGGCTATTCACAATAGCCTGTACTGCTCCCGACCATGGCCGAGCGGCTCAGCCGAGCCAAACGCATATGCATCGGCTCGGATGAGCCGTGC